CCCACACCCGGGCGAGGGGGGGCGCGTGCACGCGCGCGGCGAGGGGAGGGTGTGCACGCGGGAGGCCGGTGCGTACGGACGCGCGAGTCCCGGCGTGTCCGCGACGGGTTTCCGAGTGTGCGTGGGCGGCGTGTCCATCAGTCCCTGGGGTGTGTGCTCGCCGGGGCGTGTGCCTGTGCACGTCCGAGTGTCTGGTCGTGGTGTTTGGTGCGAATGCGTGTGGGGACGTGGGCACGGCTCCCATGTACCCGTTTAGTGAGTGTTTACTACGGCCTCGGAGGGTGCCAGGCGCCTGCAGGAGTTTGCGTGGGTCTCAGGGAGTCAGCCATGCCCTTGTGTATGAGAGTCCACAAGTGCTTTTGTGCATGTGTGAGCCAGTGAAGGCAAATGTGTGCATATCTGGAGGTGAGTGTGTAATCTGTGTACAAGAGTCTGTGAGTATGGTTATCATGGAGGCTGTGGCTCCCCTTGCTCCCACCAGGCCTATGCGTGTGAAATGCCCCTGGCCCAGATGCCAGGGAGCCCCTGGGACGGCCAGGCCTGGGGAGCACCAGGAGGTGGTGGATGAGTTTGTGAAGCCCGAGGAGGGACCCTCCAGAGCCTGGCTGGGCCCGGTGCGGTGGGGGTCTACAGGCAAGCTGGGTGGGGGTGTGGTGGGCCCACCTCTGGGCACCAGAGGGCTGGTGTTCAGTTGTTAAGAATATACTTCTGGGGTCCCTGGCCTGGTTGGCTCACCCCAACCAGGCCCAATTTTCACCCTTTCCCATGCTGAGAGATTGACCTGGGGTGCCCAGGGGTCCCCAAACGCTTGTCTGTGTATTCGCCTGCCCCACTGGGTAGAAAGAGAGTCTTCAGACTTATCTGTCCTGGGCCTGGGCTCCACATGGAGCCCCCAAGACAGCAACAAATTAGTCACAGCAGGCGTGGGACCGTGTCTTCCAAGGTCTGGCCTTGCAGTTTTGACTGACAGTTTTTCCGGTGTTTTAGAAAGGTTGAAAATCTTTGCAGTGGAAAGTCTTAATTGCTTGAAGGTAAACTTTAGAAACTCTGGAGCGCCTCAGTTCCTCTGGATTTCCAGAATGCAGCGTGTCTTTCTGAGGGGAAAATGTCGTCTGAGGAGCTCGGTGAATGCACTGGCGAACCTCAGAGGCGCTTTGCAAAACCGTGTCGCTAATGGGAGAATTTCATTGAAAGGGACGTGGAACCGGCTGGAAGCGCCTGCTCCTAATGCAGGGAGCTTTACCAAGTGAACTTTGGACGTCTTCTTTTAGCAAACAAAACCTGGAAGGAAACAAAAAAGACCCACATTCTTTTTCTTTTTTGTTCTGAAAAATGGAAACATACACACACGCACACACAACACAACACCTTTTGGGCTTGCTGGAAAAGCTGCCTCCCCTTCCCCCTTCAAGGCTGGGCCCTGCCTGGATCCCCCACCCCCAAATAAAATAGGCCTGTGGGGAGCTGTGGCGTGAGTCACTCGCTGGCAGAGAGCCCCACGGGCAAACATTTGGGAAGGTTCTTGCCTAACTTCCCAGAAGAAAAGGCCCAAGATTTAAAATGGTCCCTGTGGTTTGTCAGCTTCTACCGTCCCGTCTGCTTCGGAAATGACTAAAAAGTAGTTTCTATCTCTGCAAAATAAAGGCTCAGACTTCAGCAGTGGCCCAGTTGGTCTGGATTTAGAACTGTTTGGGTTTCCAGAGATGGAGCTCCTGGCCGTCCCAGGTGGCATTTCTGGCAGTTTTGAGCCAGGACAGGAAAACGAGGGGAAGGGGGGGAAAAGCTCACACTTAGGGAGCGTTCTGGGCATCGTCCTCCTCCCAGTGGCCTTCTGCAGAATTTAGCTTTTGTTTTTTTTGCCAAGGAAACTGAGGTGCAGGGAGGTCGAGGGTGTCCAGGGATAGCCGAGGGAGGTCACCTGCCTGACTTTGCAGCCCTTCCTCGTTCTGGACCCGGGACGCAGCTTCTGACTTCTGAATGCACAGACTGGGTACTGAGGGCTTTCACACAGCCCTGCCCGTTCGCCCCTCACTGTGAGAGAGGGGCCGTTATCTCCATCTGACCGACGGGAAGCCCGAGGGCCACGGGGAGGAAGCGTAATTCCTCAGAGCAGCCTGCGCGTCTTGTCATTGTTAACTGACCGAATCGTGCGCCAGGCGTGGCGCCAACACCTTTAAGTGCCTCATTTCATTCAAGCCCCTGACCAGTGCTGTGAGATGGACCCTGCCCATTTTACAGATGAGGAAAACCGGGGCCCGCGGAGATTAAACAGCGTGCCCAAGATCAGGTGCCGGTAGCCAGCAGAACCCGTCGGCCTGAGCAGAGCCCACAGTCTTCCCGTGGAGCCTGGAAAGCAGTGGTCTCTGTGGGCCGTGAGCGGGGTCCAGTGGCTACCCCACTCTCACAGAGGGGAAGACGAAGACTCAGGAGGTTAAGTAACCTGGGCGGTTCCTAAGCTGGCAGATGGCAAAGTCAGGATTTGAACCCTGATTCCAGAGTTGAAGTTCTTCATTTTAGACCATGTTTGACTGCCTTGGTCACACTTTCCTCCTTGTGTGCCCACTCCTTCCCCCAGATGACCAGCGCCCAGGGCCGGAGTGCCCACAGAGAAAGGACAAGCTTCACGTTTGGCTCCCCATTCCGGTACCAAGGATGGGTTTCATAAGGGAAGTGTCAAAACAATTGTCAAAAAGAGAAGAAGATTTCCTTCCTCTTTTTAGTTTAGGCCGTGAAGGGGTGTCAGAGGGCAGGCCCCAGTGACCCCTCCAGGATTAAGTACTGGTCGGCACCTCCAGGGTGAAGCAACTGCAGGAAGAGACCAGCATTCTTTTTTTAAAAAATTATTTATTTTTATTTATTAATTCATTTATTTTAATTTGACCAGAGAGAGAAAGTGAGAAAGCAAGCTACCAGGTCTGGGACTTGAACAGTGGTCGGCCATGTGGGAGTGTCCAGCGTCTTAATCAACAGGCCTCCTGCTTCTGACCCTGGGAATAGAAACTTACCTGCACGGAGCCCAACTCTGATCTTCCAGCAGGCTTCTTGTCCCCTGTCTTTTCAGTGCCCTGCCTGTCTCTTTTCTTCGTTCATTTCCACTTCCATCACGGTTTCCACTACTCTGTACTTGAAAGGAACGTTGCGTGTGAGGCCCAGTGTGGTTTGGGCTGTCCTCTTCCCCCTGTGAGGGTCCTTTGGTGTCGAAAGGAAAAGGTACTGCTCTCCCTCCCCAGTACTTCTGCGAACTGATGAGCATTTGCAAATTGCTCTGAGATGCGTTAATTTAAGGTGTGAAATAATGGATCTTGTGCGAAGGCTCAGCCACATTTCTGGCATTGATGGATTCTTTTCCCCCCGTCTGGCCTGTGATTCGGGAGGTAAAAATATCCTTGTTTCTTTTGTGCGAAGGCTCAGCCACATTTCTGGCATCGATGGATTCTTTTCCCCCGTCTGGCCTGTGTTTCCACAATTTCATCTTTCTTTTTTTTTTTGCTGATGTCATTCTTAGGAAGCTGTGGAACCTTCTCTTGCCATCACCTTAGAACTTGGAGCTCGAGGGAGCAAGGGTGCTCTTGGAATGGGGTGAGGGGCTGCCTGTGACAGTCTGGACATCCCCCAGTGTCTGTGAAAATGCTTGGAAATGAGCAGGCATCGGGGGACCAGGCTTGGCCACAGACCAGAAGCCGACTGTTGAGGGCCTCAGTGGTTTTTTGGTGTTTGGCTCTCTTTTCATTGCAGACTCTTGGGGGATGGCAAGATAGCTTTGGGGGAAAACATGAGTTTAAAAAGAAAAAAAAAATCAGGCCAGAGACTTTACCCATTTTTGTCTGGGTTGGGTGACACGGTCTCTTCCTTCGGCCAACCCTGACTTAAACCAATGGCCCTCTCAGACTCGATGTCCAGAGGCACCCGTGAGAACCAGTCAGTGGTGTAATTTCCTGTGGCGGGAACTTTGGGGACTTGAACTTGGAGTGTGAATCTAGCGTTTCAACCGTCCGCCCTCGAACAGGACTTGCTTATGTGGAAACACCCACATACACAGGCTGCACCTTTGTCTCCGATTCTGGATTTTTCCCCAGATGACGTCTAGGGTGGTCTGGTGGCAAAGGTACCTGTCTCCTAGCCAGGACTTGGCTTCCACAGGTCGGCATCACAGCGCCCTACCAAACCAACCGGCCACCACCACTGTAGCCGGGCTGGGTCGCTGGGTGGCCAGAGGGGATGGCGAGCAGGCTGAATGGCCTGGGTCTGACACTCACTCACTCTCAGCAGCCTGACTTGCATGGAGCTGCTCTTTCTGTCTCCTAGACATCTGCGTGATGGTGACCTCATAGAAAAGAAAAAAGGGGCTTTATGTAGGAATTCCGTGGAGTGTGAAGGAATTCCAGCTGGGGGAGGGGAGGGAAGTTGCCTTGGAGCCTGCAGTGCCTGCAGTTTCCCGGAATTGTTTAACCCTCACACTTCGGAATCGGGCTGGGGGTGGTGGTGGTCGTAGAGCCCGAGCTGGGTGGACAGAGATCCTTTTAGGGACTCCAGAGTTGTAGCGGAGGCTACGGGGATTAGTCCCATAGACGTGTTTTTACGGCAGGGAAATGGCAGAGCTGGAATTTGTCCACAACCCCATCTCCAGTGCCTTTTCCTCTTGTTCCTCATCCTGAAAGTCTTTGGGACTGGGGATTGTTGGGAAGAGAACTGCTAAGGGTTATTTTACAGACAGCCGTGAGTGCGGCCTTGGGACAAGCATGGGGTTTATGCACGGTGGGCTCTCAGAAGTGGAAGCTCACCATCTCTGCCAGTCACCGCGTTACAGAACAGAAACTGAGGCCCAGGGAGGG